ATAGGAATGTTGGCAGAACAGCTATCCTAGGACTATCTGCAAGGGCAAAAAAGTATATGGGGGATGGAGGAGACGAGACCAAACAGTGAATTTGTATGGACTTGTGTAGAGCCTAGAGGGTAAAGAAAACAAGCTGAGTGCAGTGGCAGAGAGACAAAATACTTATTGCAAAGGTATTTTGGAGGAATTTCTATAAAACAGGCCAGAAAGATGGGTCAGCAGTAATCAGAGGAGAACACGAGGACAAGAGCTTCAGCTGTTGGAAGAAAAGCAAAAGCTTCTGACTTTCACATGCTCGACTGGTGTAAATGGAGAGTAGTATTGGCTCTCTATTTTACTAAACCCCTTTTTCAGAAATAAGTTTGCTAGCCAAAGTAAAGAGAAAAAGATCAATGGAGAGCAATAAATGGCATTTAACATAAAAATACATGAAATTTACAATTCAGTTAACTTGTCAAATGTTAAAAAATCAGCAAACAATAGACACAATTTGTTTTGTTCAGAGCCCAGAGGTAGAGACCAAATTCTCTAAATTAATTTCTGCAAAAGCTGTTTTTTTTTTTTTTTTCCAAACAGGTCTGGATCCTATTCGTTGTAGAATATACTGATTACCAACTATTTTTAAGAGCTTTACACAAACATTATTTCTTTTGTTGTGTGAAATGCAGAATCAGCCATCTGGCAAATGCCCCAGAGCTAAAATCTTTTACATGACATATAATTCAAAATGATTAAATATACAACAGAAAATAGCTATAGCATTGCACTTAAAATAGCATGAACTTTTACTGCCGATCAAAACTGATTTCTTTAGCTTAACAAGTATCCAAAGAACAATTATTTGAAGAGCTTTTAAGAGTTTCAATATGTAGGAACTAAACCTCATCTAAATTCAGTATCTTAAGTCAAATAAAAAAGAAACAAATGTACAAAAGATTAAATGGTCCTGTGTTATAAGTAGACATTTAAATCTATGGGAAGCTAAATTCATTCGAACAAAAATACTATATTCCCTGTGTATGTGTATTGCTGAGGCTTTCCTCTCCACTGCTAAGGGCATCTGCCAAAACAACTCTTACATTCTTAGGCAATGACTAGGGACTAGCCTGGAATCAGACTGTTCATCCACTCCCTCCATCATCAGAATGGGCAATTTCAAAGAAGAACAGGGAATAAAGCTCAGTGCATGATCCCTAACTGCAGTCAATCTTTTTTTTTTCTTTCTTTTTTTTTTTTTTTCTTCCCTGCACCACAGTCAACTATAAGTTAAACTTGCTGTCTTTTCTCCAGAAATACTCCAGGCCTGAAAAATTGCCAGGTCCTCATCCCACACCCAATTCTCCAGTAGTTTATGAGAAAGAGCACGCAAACATCTGCATGTATTTGGGGTACATGAGGGTAGGTACAGAAATATTACCCTGCGTAATTATTGAGTGGTTATGGCTCTGTTTCTGAACTACATTTTTCAGACAAGTCAATGTCTACTTTTCTCAGAAAGCACTTGGTGCAAGTCACTGCTGAGCTTTAAGACAAAAAAAAAAAAGTCTAAATGTAGATTCATCTCATGGATTTACATACTTGGATAAGCCTGAAATGGATGAATAGATCTCTGACTTTCAACAAAAATTGCTTCTAAATTCTTTCAGACCAAGCATGAGAACCTTCATGCCTAGGTAACAACGTGAGGAAACTCTAAGGCCATGATTACTAGGACTTAGAATTAAAATGTGTTCTCAAACTTGCCTGTGGAGTTGGGTCAGCCTCAAAACCAAGGAACCTTGGATGTCCTAAAACCAGTCTTCTTAAAACTAGAATAAAATTATATTCTTGAGTCTTGACCTTTTCAGGTTATAATGATTCCTGAAGCAGCAGGACTTTCCCTGCTGCTTTTTATGAGACTTTCAGGTTTGTAGAAATCCTAAGCTGATTGCTGGCTGGCTTGGGACTGCAGCAATACCAAAACCACTCCTCCTAATAGGCACTTTTCCTTGGTTTTCTGGGCCTAATCCTGCTCTTAGTTACACGTATATTAATTCAGATACCTTACTGAGTTTAAAGTGTAAAGTCAGACTCTGGGTCTTCCTGTTCTTGATCTTATATGAAGAGATGCACATATTTCAGGTAATACTGGCTGCAGTATAGAAAGCTACCCTATGCACCATATTCATGCTAATTAAGCCTAAAAATGGAACATGAAAATAGAAGCACAAATATTATCATGCTCTTGCTCTTTGTAGTATGATTTATACTATTTAACCCAGCATCAGGGTAGGTGCAGGAGAAACATCAGTTTTCATCAGAAGTATCTTTGCTTTTCATCAGAAGAAAGGTGACTCAGGCAATCTCCTATCATCCTTTCCTCAGGAGAACAAGATTTCTGTTTCTGACAGTATTTTATCTTTGAAAGCTATGGGCCTCTCCAATATTTGTGGGTCCTAAAATCTGAATCATTTCTCTTCTTGTACCTCCCTGCTTTGCATTAAACATAACGTCATATATTTCCTACTTCTCACTGGAAAAATGGGAAATCTTCCCATCTTTCTATTGACCAAACTCGTTCACAAAGATGCCAGGAGTCCAATTTTTTTTTGGGGGGGAATACTCTGAGTGAAACAGGAGGCTAGTCCCAGAGCCTATTCAAAATAAACAACGTATCTTCTTACAAATGAGTATTCCTATTCTTATTTATGTGTCCAATTTTGTGTACTTCACAATACAAGAGAAAAAAAAAGAAAAGATTGAGGAACACATGAGGAATCAAGAGAAATTTGAGCATCCCCAAGGAAACGGAGGTTTAGGGATGGAGTAATAACTGCAAGATTGCAATGAGAATTTGGAAAACTTTGCTAGATAAAAAGTATAACAAAACTGTTGCTGTCATTTCGTTCCCTGGACCTGATTATATTTTCATGATGGGCCTTTGCACTGCTTTAACTGTAAGAGCTTTAAGTAAATGAGGATCAGACCTCCATGCTAGTGAAATGCAAAGCTTGCCAAATTTAACAGGAGTCTCTACGGTACTCTACAAACACTCATCCTGACAAAGAAGCGGTGGAAGCAAACTCAGTAATTTCAAATGGAGTCTATTTGTTTCTCTTCTGGAATGATACCTGGATGCTGCCAATTTGGCAGGAAAGCCAGTGCCAAGGCAGTATGCTTCCTTGCCCTGTTTCCCCAACAGCCAAGAAACAATCAGCAATTGCTTCATAATAGGGCCAGGGTGAAAGGTGAGAACTGGAGTATTCTTAAAGCCTGCTTCCAGACCTGAGGAAGATAGTGTCATTTTGGTAAACCTGTCAAGCTGTTGTAAGAACTTCCTGAATGCTTCCTACCATCTGCTTTTGATGCTTTCAAGACTTGGCTGGAAGCCTGGAGGTTTTCCTGCTCCTTCCTGCCCAACCTATAATGGAGTAATTCTGGATCTGTTCCCTGTCATTCCAGCCTCTTCCTCAGTTTCTTCTGCTTACAGCTGGGGTTTTTAATTTTTTTTTTTTTAAACTGCAGTGGCCTTGTGCCCTGAATCATCTCTCCTGGGGCAGTAAGAGTTCCTCTGATGTTGAACAAGTGCCGGGTTTTTCAATTGTGTTCATGTTCTTAAGAGGAAGGGTCTGGCCTACATGACACATTCCTTCTTCACGCTCACATCAACAAGTTTAACTGTGTGTACACGGCTCTCAATGGAACGGTCACACAAAGCACATCCCCAACAACTCTGTCGGACTGCATGCTGTGCTGGTCTGGTCGGTGAATATTGATTGATATAATTTGTAGAGTTTGAGATAAATGTCATCAAGGACAATGAGTTCAAAGAACAGATTAAAAAACAATAAATTGAATTCCAAGGCGTTCCCTCCTGTACTAATCTGTGTAGGTTCCTGTGTTTTTGGAAAGCATGTTGCTTATCTTCCTCATCAGTAGGCCCACTGCATTCCAGTACTTTGGATCAATGCCATTTGTAATAATCTAGATCAGTTTTTATTCAACGTTTATAAAACAGGCCATGTATCATAGGGTATATTTTATAGCAGATGGTATCTCCAATTCATTTAAGCCCCCTCCTTCACTTCCCTCCTCCAATATCACAGTGCATACTTACAAAAGCTCTTGAAAGTAGAGCTGAGCAGATTTTTTTTCAACAAATAGTAAATTTGCTGAAAAATAGTTTCCAAGAAACAAAACGGTTAAACTGCGGCACGCTGAAACTGAAATGTTCTGTCTTCTAGAAATACCACATCTTCCAATTTAGATGTTTGAGGAAAAAAAAAAAAGAAAGAAAAAAAAAGTGTGTGGTTGCTTTGAAAAGCATTTTCATTAAAAAAAAATAATAATTTCACTTAAAAAAGGGTGATAGGTTAAATAATCAGAACACAAAGCATTTGCTTCAGGTCATATTACGTTTTTGAGTTATCCCAGTGTCAACCATTTAGGGATCTTCTGTGTGTATTTAATTTGAAAAGTTTCTCAATTTTCCTCAAGGTTTGTTAATTTGGGGACTGATCCACAAGACCTAATATTTGCCAGATTCTACTCTAAACACAGCTCTAGAAGGTGCCAAGAAAGTTTCCTATTCAGCAAGGCATTTAAACATAGCCCAAAGACCCATTTAAATAAAGTGGACTGTTCTAACATTTAAAGATAAGCACATACTTAACCTCTTTGCTGATCGCAACAGAGTTTATTCATTTTCAGGATCAATGATGTACATCTTAGTACAGTCCCTTTGCTTGAGATTGTAATGGAAGGGATTGATTTTCCTGATATTAAGATATTCAATGGTAATAAACTTTAGGTATTACTTCACTGTAATTTTGCAAAATATAATTTGTACAACTCTGAGGAAACATAAATAGCTGATAAAATTAAAATCTAAGATACTTTAGCTCAGTGATAACAGGACGCAATCATGGACTTTAAAAAAAACAACTTCAGTTTTAATCATACATCCTAGAAGATCTGACAAATACACTTACTGAAATTTACCTTACAGAAGTCAATCATACCTGCGTTTCTCAGAAACCTCATTTTGTAGTCAACGACAATTCTGGTTTCAGGGTTATAGAATCCATCACCACAGTCGTAACATCCTGCTGGGATTTTTCTAGGAGGATCTAGATTTGTAAGCTGAGAAATGCCTGAATTAAAAACAACAACAAAGGATTTGCTTTGTTTTGTGTTTTTTTGTTTTTTCCTGTATTCATGCCTTTGTCTAAATAAATAACAAACGTTACATCTCCATAGCATTTGCTATACAAACAATATAATTGGTTTACAACAAATTTTATAAAACATTTTTTTTCAATTTTGCAGATGTAGAAAATGAAAATGGAGGAATTATGCACAAAATTTATGGGGTAAAAATATATCATTTTGATTTCCTCAAAGTCCTGTGACTCAGACCACTATGCCAACATTACAAATATGACTCCAAACTACAGAATGGGGCCAGGAGAGTCTTGCTGGCCTCGCAGAACTACTACATGTCATCCCTAAAATATTCTATTTATAAAGGGTATTTTATGTATTATGTTACATGTTTCACTCACTTGTTCCTTAGAGGTCTTTTCATGTTTGAACTATGGGCAAATACAGTTCTAAAAGTCTTTTGTGGAAATATAGACTGGACACACATTCATGGTGGTTCCTGTTAAAAAGCTATGCGGGGTAGGTGCGTTCAAACTTTATTTGGTGTTTGGTGCTTGGGTGTTAACTGCTTCTGTTCAACGTGTCTGTACTGAAGGCATGTGGTTCATGTAGGGGAAGGTGGAACCCATTCGTTGGGGTATGGCGAGGCACTGGTAAGGCCGAAATCAACCACACGCTGCGGCTGCACGGTGCCCGTCTGGAGGAACGGATGCTCCTGGAGCAGAGCCCTCAGCTCGGCTCCTTGCTCAGGACCACAGCCGGGGTTTGGTACCTGCGGGCTTGAGGCCGGAGCAGATTTCTGTGTAGAACCTCCTGTCGTAGCCGTCGCAGTAATGCCACTTCTCGTCCTGGTACTCCAGCCCATCTGCGAAAGTGTATTTCCCCTGCCAACACAAGCAGAGGGGGGCACGGGAGGAGACTGGGGGGGGACAGAACAAACTGGGGGGGGACAGAACAACCGTGGGGGACACGGGCCGAGCGCCAGCGCCCCACAGCCGCCCCCCAGCCCCGGGGATCGCGGTACCTCAGCGGGCACCCCGCGGTGCCACAGCGCCCGGTATCTGCCGCCGCCGGGGAAGAGCAGCTCGCCCTCGCCGTGAAACATCCCGTCCTTCAGCTCGCCCCGGTACTCGGTGCCGGTGGGCAGCGTGTAGGAGCCCCGTCCTTCCATCCTGCGATGGCCACACGGGGCTGTCAGCGCGGAGAGCCCCCCGGCAGCACCCCCTCCTCCTCGCCCCACCGCCCCCACCTGCCGCGCACGGTCTCCCCGCAGTAGCGCCCGCCCGTCACCTCCATGGCGGCGCCTCCGTTGTCGCCATGGCAACACCGCTGAGGGCGGCCCCGAGCCGAGCCTCCCGCGCACGCGCCCTCCCTCCCCTCAGGCGGCCGCGCATGCGCGGTGCCGGCCGGGCGCTGAGGGGAGCTCAAGGAGACGGCGCCGCCATGGCGGGCGGCCCGGGGCTGCCCTCGCTGGAGGAGCTGGAGGTGCCTGAGGTGAGTGAGCGGCCCCGCGGGGCGGCCCCCGGTCCCCCTCCCGGCCTCCATTGCCGCTCTGCTCCGCTGTACTGCAGGTGAGAGTCAGCTCGGCCGTGCTGAAGGCCGCGGCCCACCACTACGGCTCGCAGTGCGACCGGCCCAACAAGGAGTTCATGCTGTGCCGCTGGGAGGAGAAGGACCCGCGGCGCTGCCTGCGCGAGGGCCGCCAGGTCAACCAGTGCGCCCTCGACTTCTTCAGGTGAGCCGCCCCGCAGCCCCCTCCCGGGGTCTCGCTGCCGCTGCCCGGCTCCTGGAGGCACGGCCGGTGCCCTTGAGGAAGGGGCACAGTCGCTGGAGGAAAGGTTGTGCTGTTATTTTATTCTTTGCATGGTTAAATCTCGGGTTGTGCTTTCCCTCAGAGCTCCAGTGGGCTCAGCTGCAGGGTGAGTGGCTCCAGGGATTTGTCAGGTTAACAGAGGAAGGCCCTCAGGGGTCATAGGCTTGCTGTTTCTGCACCTTGCAGCTGTGTTATGGGATCTAGGAAACCAGCCTAAGCTTTACTTCGTCTGTCCTGGGTTTTGTATGCATGCTGTTAGAGAAACTTAGGTTTGAAATCGATGTCTTGTGACAAAAACATAGGGCATGGCATGTGTTGGGATCTTAGGCTGCTGGTAAAGGGCTGTGTTAATTAGTTCAAAGTCTGTCCTCTTCCAGCGTAGCAGCCAGCCAGTAATCAAAAACCTCTGTCCTAAGTGTGTCTTCTCGAATTTAAGATTTCCAACTGATTTGGAAGTAGCGCATGTTATACAACGCTTCAATATGTTACCTAGCAAAGCAAACACCCTGATGTGGGGGAGCTGTGTACGTCTACGTAGGAAGAACACCTTCCACATACTGGTGAAGTTATCATTATCCCTACTTGTAGCTACAGTGCTACAAACTGCAGTGGTATTGGTACAAAGTTCTGTTCAATGGTGCTTTAAATACTGACTTGTGAAGTTTTAAAGTGTTCTTGAGAACAACTACAAAAAACATTTTAGCACAAGTTGAGGCTTGAATGAGTAAGAGAGAAAACATTAAAACTACAATGGTTGCTGAACGTTTTCTTTCTGTGTTGTCTTGCAGGAAGATTAAGACTCACTGTGCAGAGCCATTTACTGAATACTGGACGTGCATTGACTATACCAACTTGCAGGAGCTTCGTCGATGCCGAAAGCAGCAGGCAGTGTTTGATAACTGTGTGCTAGAGAAGTTGGGTTGGGTGAGACCTGAACTGGGAGATCTCTCTAAGGTAACTTCCTATCTCTTGGGTTGGATAGCCAGGTTCTTCTTCCCCTATGTGCATTTTTCCGGACCGGGTCTCAAACTTTCCACACCTAGAAGGTGATGTATGAACTCAACACTGGAAAATTGTGGATTTTACTAAATGCAGGACTCTTCTAGCATTCTGTAGGGTTGGGAGTGAATGCATTGCTTTCATGGAGGACCTGCACTTTTCTCACACAATTCTAGCTACTCTTCTTGCTTTTTCTAATGCAGAGACTTTTTCTTCAGGAGTGAGGCTCACATGTTCATAGAACTACAATGTAGCTATGAATAAAGTGCCCCTCTTCTCCATTTATTTAAAGTACTTTGCAGATAGGAGCTCTTATCGGATCAATGATGTATCCCTAGCGTGGTTTGGTGGTACCTCCATTAAAGTCTGACTTAATCTAGCTTTTCTGTTAAATGCTGTAAGAAGTTGTATCATTCCTTTCTTTTTCTTTCCAGGTCACAAAAGTGAAGACGGACCGACCTATCCCTGACAATGTCTATCATTCTAGGCCTAGACCAGAACCAAATCCACCCATTGAAGGAGAGCTGAAGCCTTCTCCATATGGCAGTAGGCTATTTTTCTGGTCCTGGTAAAGTGGGCAAACTATCCTGTAATTAAAATGCAAAGATATGTTGCTCTCAAATGTAAATTGTTCAGTATACGTTGGGTATAACTTTAAATGTAATGATTAAAAACGAAAAACAAACAAAAGTTACATGGCTTAGTGGATTTCTTTAAACAGTATTTTTAAGCGACTATTTTGTATGAGAATCTTCCTGTTCTGTGCTATGGTCTCTGCAGTCCTATGGCCTTTGGGACCATCTGAACACAGTGATGTCAGTTTCCCAACGGTGGCTGTCAGGCTTGTCTGAGAGGCATATGAATACAGCCTGAGTCTTTGGCCACTGCTTTAAACAATCAAGATGATGTGTGGCTTTATTTGCTTATTGAGACCACTGTCACTTGCATCAAGCAAGCTTTAAGCACAAATAAGTCATTCATGTCTTCCCTTACAATCTTGCAACTAATAATGGTGCATTTTTTCCAAGAGACTGCTTCTGTATAGATTTTTACTTAAAACCTGTCTCGGAGCAAGACCTTAGTCTTGGTGGTTTTGGATAGATATGAGGTCAGTGCTGTTTCTGATATACAGATCCTTATTCTAAGTGGCCAACTACTTAGATCTCCCGCAGATAGGTTAGCTGCTTCCGTTGGTTTTTCATGGCCTGATGTGAGGGGATTGGGGCAGATCCTTCCTGTAGTCTCACCGTGATTCTTTCTGAGGGAGGAGTAAGGCTGCTGCCTCCAGCTAGTTTGTCTGCAATATCCAGAAGTTGCATGTTTCGTGGATCTAGTCTTTCCTCTGCTCTTCCGCTTTAATAGCAAGAACCTTATTACAAAGGTCAGAAGAAACAAATGAACTTGTTTTCACAAAGCCATGTGCAGTTCAGCTTGCTCTAGACCAGATGGTGTAGTCTGAACCATAGCAGGCTCAAATAGTATTTTGTTCCTTGAATAGACTAGCAGTGAAATCAGGATCTGAAGATTTACCATCCCCTTGTTTGGGGTAGGATTAAGTTGTAATGGGTCTGTAGCTGCAGCATATGTTTCTGATCCATGGAGCTAGAGGGAAAATTGTATAACCTTTATCTAAAAATAGCTCATGTACTGTGTGGCTGATGGGTTCTTGCTACTTCTGTTTGGGTATGTTGACTGAAACTCAGCAAGCAGGTGCTATGGCATACATGTTTGCATTTTAATGCACGTATCATGCAGTCTTAGCACCTCCTTGTCTAAACCTTCGCAGTTTCTCCTTCCAGATGACTGCCAGCATTTCAGAGCAGCCATGCATTTCTGAAGAAAGATAACCTCTTCTCTAGAGATTGAAAGCTTGAGGTCTAATTACATTCAGCTGAGTGAGTGAAAATGAAGTTTGGCCAAGCAGAGGAACCATTTTTAGGGGGATGTTAACATGTATCACATCTGATCTCTGTGCTGACCCATTCTAACACTAGCAAAGCCTTTTGAAAGGCTTTGCCTAAGATACTACGTATTGTTGATAACTATTGTCAGCATAATGTATGAAATACTGCAGTGCTGAACATCTGCTTTTGAATAAACAGGCATAGGCATTCCCATAGTCAGTCCCTAATCATAATTAAAAAGCATTTTCAATTAAATTCATGCTGAACAGAATGACATTCATAAATGTGAGGGGATGACATCTTTTAAACAGCCTCTTACAAAACCCAACCTTAAATTGGCTAGTACTGTAAGGAGAAAAAAAAAAGGTGACTTATGCTGCAGTCTCAAAGGTTTAAGATTGTTCATCTTTCATGACAGCTGAATCTACTACCTCTTGGACTGGAGGTTGTTGATCCTATAATGATGCATTGATTATGTTTAAAAGTCAGAATTAACTGCTTGCTTAGGTTCCCACGTGAGTTTCATGCAGGGGTGGGAAGGTGAATGAACAAAAGAGAGCAGCAGAGGAGGACAATGAAGTGATCATAAAGTCAAGTAGAACTCAGCTGTACTATGAGCACTTCTTTCATTAACTTCTTTCAGATAATTACTTCTCGTCTCCATCTCTTGGCTGAATCTGCAAAAAAGTCTTGCCAAAGTTCTGTTTCTTGGTGCTTTGGACAGTGCCTGTATGTAGCTATTTCTGTTCAAAATTGTGTGGCTTTACTCAAGCATAGATCCCCCTTTGGAGCTGTAATGTTTTTTTGGAAACTTTAGAACAAGTGAATGTCAAGATTGAGTAAAGATCATAAAACTATTTTTGAGGAATGTATCCTGACATTTTTTTGGCAGATGGAGAGCAGACGCACACAGATCCAACACAGATATTTTACTGGCAATGTGAGAAGTGTTATTTGTTATGTTGTCGTCTCTAAGCTCTGCCAGAGCTTCTAATCACATGTGAAATTAACAAAATTTCAAGCCAATGTCATGGTAGCTTGCCCCGCGCCATAGGCTGGATTAGGCAGTACCTGCTCCCGGTCAGATTATGGATGGCAAGAGAAAAATCATACTGCAATTTCTAGTCTTAATAAGGGAGGAGTGCATTTCTAGCCCAGCAGTTACTGGGTGGCACTAGCATGACAGCATTGTTCCACAGGGAATGGCCCCCTCCATGACAGTTTGATAAACTCTAATCTCAAGTGGTTCTGCTTAGCTCGTAAGGCAAAAGGACTGGAGAAGGTGTACCGCTAGCCAGAAAGACCAGAAGCCCGACAGCAACGGCAGCTCTGCTTACAGCCACCAAATCGTTCATCTGAGAAAGTGGTGGAAAGGAACTGATTTTATTCAGCTCTCCGAACAGTTTCATAAATCTGTTGCATGCCATTATCACCCCTGTAAAAAAAAAAAAAAAAAAAAAGTCAGTTTAGGTGCAACTAGCCTCCTGAGCATGCGTAAACTCAGATTTGCTCAGACAAAGCCATTCACAAATTCTTCCCTGCCTTCAATTGCAATATGGTTCTAGAATGGAGCTACAATAAATGAGATGTTTTTTTTTTTTGCCCATTCATAAGTAACGAAAACCCTTCAAGAACCTTTACCTTCAGAACAAGGATACTT